AACAATGAACATCGGATAGGTCAAAAGATCATAATGTGATCTGCTTCATGACATGAGGATTGAAGCTGAAATGCCTTACTGGGAAAAGGGGTGGGCTATCTATACAGCAAGAACTAAACCAGAGGAAAGGGAGGGGCAGAGACAAAATACAAAGAACACTTAAAGGCATATGACAGTCATGTGAAACATGACATATATATATATATATATATATATATATATATATATATATATATATATATATATATATCAGGGGCAGACTGACCATTTGAAAACTCTGGCACTGCCCGAGGGCCCAGGGTCAGTAGGGGGCCCCATGAGATGCCTCTGGTACCTTTTTTGAGTTTGGGCAAAGGCACAAGGGCCCCATGATCCCCTATTGCCTGGGGCCCCATGAGTTGTCAGTCCACCCCTGATATATATATATATATCTATATATATATATTAAAAAACACAATGTCCATCATACAAGCAAGTCCATGCAATTTGAATTAAAGCAGTGAACATGGATAAGGTTTTACATTAATTACACAATTCCATAGAATTTCTGGAGTGCTCGCAAAATCATCACAGTCTCTTAAAGTGCTGCGTACATTCAGGTTGTGCCACCTCAGTGCTCACAGAACTCTTACCTTAAAAAAATAAGAATGCGCTTATACTGATTATTAAACTGGGATTCTTCTGCTCTCCTGGTCCTCCACCACTTTATAACCACTGGGGGCCTTCCTTCCTTTCTCCTGGTCTCTGGACCCGGTTACAAGCCCGTTCCCTTTAAAGGTCACTTGGGATCAAATCTCTTACACTCATGCAGAGGAAACAGAGGGATCTCCAATAGTGCAGTGTGTTCCAATAAATTAATTTTATTAAAAGTATTGCACTTACATGTTTAAATTTGTAAACACGCCATTAAAATCACATATGGAGCAAACAAACACAGAACGCACTTCTGTGTACGTCACTTCCGGTTCACGTCTGCCTCTGGCCATGACCTACGCATTGCGTCATGCCCACGTCACTTCTGGAATGGTAGGGCATGGCTGGAGAAGACGTGAACCGGAAGTGACATACGAAGAAGTGTGGGCTGTGTTTGATTGCTCCATATGTGATGCCTATTTTCATGTTATTATGCATATTTGATGATTTACTTTATTGTTTTTTTCATTGTTTTCAATGTTTTGATTATTTGTTATTTACATTTCATATTAGCAGCGCAGCATTAAGTTCATTTGTTTATTTACATGTAGGTCAATGCCTAGGGCAGTTGGATTAGAAGGGTCAACACGAAGTCTCAACATTTACAAATTACATCTGTTACCTTTGTAGCCAGGTGCTTGGCTAATGGAGATTGAGAGAAAAACTGGCTGCCGCTGCTTTCTGTAGCTGCTGCCCTGCGGTGCTGAACTGGTTAATAGCTTTATCAGCAAGAGGAGGGAGCTGCTGAGGAGGAAGAGTTCAATATAGTTAGTCAGGCAGCACTGCACCATGGGAACTGTAGTCCACAGGAGATAGACTCTATTGTAATCAAGAGCTTTGGAGTAGCATTTCCCAGAGAAAGATTGTCAGGAGGAGGGGAAAAGCTGCATTTTCTCAGGCTGTACAGGACACAGCTTCCTCTTGATATGAGGGAGAGTGAAGTGTGCCAGTGTGCACCATCACTGCTGCATATCAGCGGCCTGAGTAGGATCCAAAGTCTGGGGGTGCCGACAGCCAGAGTCACCTGTGTGACCAGATGGTGAGCTGTAATATCACTTGGAATGGTGAGCTGCTGCTGTGGAGATTTACTATCTGCTGCTAAAGAGACTGAGCCCTTTAGGAACTGACCATACAGCCATCTAGCAGTCTTATTGCTGCCTGCTTGACTGGGACTATTCTCATGTGAACCAACAGTACAACTGGGCCCCAAAGCTAGCCAGCTGAAGCGTTAGGACTAGAGACTGTAACCTTACAGCTGCTACACAGAGACCAAGTTTGTTCTTGGAGTTGAGGCACAGAATAGAGAACTCAAATTTCCAGGTGGCTCCTGCAGGGGCAGCACTACACCTTATTTTCTTTTTCCCTTCTGTTCACCTGTGGAAATCTATGGCTTAATTCAGCCTGTGAACTGAAGGTGAAAAGGTTGCTAAGGGGAACAACTATTTTTGTTCAGAAATAGAAGAATCTCTCTTTTCTTTGGTGTTCTGTACAGTTAAAGGTAGCTGGGCATATAATGCAGACCAGACAGTATGCTGCCCCTAAGAATACATTTTAACAGTAACTTTTACTAAGATAATAAAATAATTACACAGAGTGCATAGATTGGTAAAGGTCACCAACATTCCTCTGTGTCTATGGCTGAATTAGGAGCACTGTAAAAATGGCACATTTTCCTTTCAGTTAGTCTACAAAAATGTCTGCAAGGATCACCTGTGGAAGAAGTTCTTCTCCCAAAAAAGAGTTACTTACCTCACTTGATTAGGGGGATTTTCAGTGACTCAGAATGTTTCTAAGATTACAACACCTCCTCCCCATACAGAGATCTCTGGACTCTCCAATATTGTTTTATATGGGAAACCCTTAAATAATGTTGGCCATGCACATAGCAATACTGCTGTTCAATATTACAATTGTTTCACTGAAAGAATCATACCTTTCAGCAACTCATTTTTTTGTAATGAGACACCTCAACCAACTAAAAAATGATAAACAATGGCTGATTTTTGCAAGGATCAAATTTTTTTTTTATCCTTACACATACAGTATGGCCAGCATATCTCATTGGTATAGACATGTTGAAATGCCACTAAACAATATCATTCTCCAGTCCAGAAATAATCCATACATATCCTCTACTTAGTAACCATGTAATCTATCTTTCATTAAATTGTTTCTAACTGTGTTTTCTTCTACTTTTTTGTAATGTACCCTGTGAACTCCAAAACCTCTTTTTCTCCCCTTCACTGTTTGTTTATAATGAGCAGTGCAGGTTAGTTGCAGTCACGTGCACTGGTCTATGCATATTATAAATTCCATAGGCCATCTCAGGAGAGAGCAAGAGATGGGTACTACATTAGTAGATATGGTGGGATCATGGAGAATGAATACAGCCACCCTCTAAAAGGGGGTCTGATCACAGCAGGAGAAAAAGGAATTTGGAGATCTGGAGGAGGCTGACAACAATAGAAGGTATCTTTCTGAGTTAAAGAAGAATTTCACCTGAAAAGATAAGTTTTGCTGCTCCTCCTCCTTTCCCCCCTCCTATGTCTGTATTGGAAAGTTTTTTTTTTCTCTGGCAGTGTGTATCTAATCACAGCACCCTGTACCATGGGATAGCTGTGGGTCAATAACAACATAACAATAAAAAAATTAGTTGTTAATATAAGCCGATCATGATAGTTCTAACGATTGCTGTTACAGTGATCATCACTGTAACGGGCAAGCACAGTGTAAAACAAAAATCCCTGATCACCTTACAGAATAGTACAGTTTCACTGAACTACTTTGAGAACTGTATGGAAAAAAATGTAATCATGTGATGGTGCTGTATGACAGTATGTAAAAAAAAAAATAATTTTTCATTTTCCAAAAAATTTAGACAAACAAATTCAACATCAAAAAAACTCACCATGCTTTTTACTAAATACCTTGGACTGTCTACTTTCCAAAAAAGTGTCATTTGGGGGGTATTTGCACTGCATTTAGAGCCTCAAGAAATGAGGCAGTAAGTACATCAAAATTGATCAATTTTCAGATATACTGTATATAACAATATATATTAATACTAAATATTATTATTATTATATTATGTTATACCAAAGAAATGTAGCAGACAACATTTTGGTCTAAATTGATAAAGAAAGATTATTTGTGTGCAAAATTTTATAACAGAAACTAAGAAAAACATGTTTTTTTTTTTTTTGCAAAATCTTTATTATTTTTTTTTATCAAAAACAAAAATCCCACTGGTGATTAAATACCACCAAAAGAAAGCTTTATTTGTGTAAAAAAATTATATGAATTTCATTTGGGTACAATGATGCATGACCAAGCAATTTCCAGATAAAGCAGCACAGTGCTGAATAAAAAAAAATTGGCCCGGTCACAAAGCAGGGTGAAAACCTTCTGGAGGTCAAGTGGTTAAGCTGCAATAGGCAGAGGAGAGTTATGTTTACATGCTGCGGCCATGATGCTTCATTTCTCTACCGCAGCTAAGTTGACCCAACCCAATAAGGCTCCCAATCACTACACATTCAAGTCAATTGTAAAGTGCCAAAAATGCCCCACAACCACGTGCAATGCACGCATGTTGCAGAGCAATTGCCAGCAAAAATGAGAGGTGAACAGGGGGTAAGAAGACATTGCATAGCATGGTTAGAGGTGTTCTGAGTATCCTGAATACTTGAAAAAGAAATACTAGGGAAATGTATATTATATTTCACACATCAAAAAAATATGTATATGTTTTCCAAACAGCATTTGCATGGCATATGTCTGATTTTTTTTTGGAGACAATGTGGTCATTCAAATTGAATGTTCACTTTAGATAGTTTATGTTTTCTTTGAAAAGGGACTGTTAACCACTTGCCCTCCAGAGGATTTACCCCCCTGCCTGACCAGGCCATTTTTTGCGTTAAGGCACTGCATTATTTTAACTGACAATTGCGCAGTCATGCAATGCTGCACCCAAATGAAATGTATGTCCTTTTTTTCCCACAGATAGAGCTTTCTTTTGATGGTATTTGATCACCTGTGAGCTTTTTATTTTTAGCACAAAAAAAGACCGACCATTTTGAGAAAAAAACTATATTTTTTACTTTTTGCTATTGAAAAAAATTTTTAAAAATCAAATTTCTTCCTAAATTTAGGCAAAAATGTATTCTGCTGCACGTTTGCTGAAAAAAATCCCAATACATCTAAATGAATTGGTTTACTTGAAACTGATAGCATTTACAATTGGCGGTATATATACTGGGATTTTTTTTTTTTTTTACTAGTAATGGCGGCAATCAGCGGCTTATAGTGGGATTGCGGAACTGCGGCGTGCATTCTGACACTGGGGGGAACTGACTTGGTGTCACTGACATCTCCAGTGACACCAATACAGTGATCGTGCTAATAAAAAGCACTGACACTGTACTAATGGCACTGGGTAGGAAGGGGTTAACATGTGGGGAGATCAAAGGGTTAACTTTATTCTGTTTTACTGTGTGCTGTGTTAGTGCTTTCAACTGTAAGCACACTGCTTTGCATGGCTCTGCTATGCAAAGCAGTGTGCAGGAGCTGACAGAGGAGAGAACTGCATTGTTTACATACAGTTATCTCCCTCCGTCGGTAATGCTCCACGTTCACCGGGTGCCGGCGAGTAATCACCGGCCGGGACCTGGTGATTGACAGCCGAGGCCGTGAATAGCGCCACGGAAATGCAAAGTCACGTATATATATATATATGTGATTTTGCACACCCCTACTGCCCTGTAGCAGTATATCTGATATAGGGGGCGGCGGGAAAGAGGTTAATAAGATGAAGCTGTATTCATCTTCTAATACACAAGCATGTGCTAGCAAAAACCTAGTTTTTGTTTTATTTTCATTTCATATGATTGGGTATTCAGAGTGAACACAGGTTCACCACATTTAACAAACCTCTACTCCTTTAGTAATCAACCCCACCATGTTAGTTGAAGAGGTGCACATACCTGTTGTCAGCACAAGTGAAAATGGTTTTCACACTTATCAAAGTGTATCAAATTCCCCAAGAAACCACTTGCTTATTACATGGCATTGTATTTGTACACTTTATCACACATTTGTAACATGTATCATCATTTCTGGGAATCCATGTATTTTTTTAACCAATGATACACCAATACTATTCTGAAAATACTGAAATACTATTGTATATTGAAGGCTGTAGGAAATATAAAAACATACTTCACTAAAAACGTCACAACTTTATTTTATATTAATCTTAAACAGTAGTCTGTATTGTTAGCATATTTTAACCACTTCCTGTCCCTAGGATGTACCTGTACATCCTAGGGATCAAGTGGTTCCCAAAATTTGCAGTTGGCGATGACTAAAAGTGATATGAGCAGCTCTACAGTCACCCTACTACTTTTACTGTTCTTTGATTCTCCAGTGCTGTCGGGGAGCCCAGAACCACTACACTCAATTGGGCTGGCTGCAGAAAGGAGAGAAGAAGGAACAGGTGTTCCTTCCCCTCCTCTGTGACAAATGAAGTTGGAAGCAACATGTATGTATGTATGTATGTATGTCACTTATGGTTTCTGTTGTTAGTTTACTGGCCTGTACTGGCAACAGATAGCTGATCAACAGATCTTGGTTTGAATAACTACCTTGGATAACACAGGAGGGATCAGGGGTTTAATAGACCACAGATCTCTCAATAAAGAGTAAATGTCACTGCCATAGCTATCACAAAGGATGCTGTTCATCCCTTAAGATAAAAATAAAGTTTAAAGAAAATTAAAAAAAAATAAAAAACAAGTAAAAATAAATTTAAATAAGAAAAAAAAATTAAAGTGTCCCAGTCCCACTTGTTCATGCACAAATGTGAATGTGCATGTAGGTTCATGCATATGTATATGGTGATTGCACCACACATGTGAGGTCACACCGCAAATGTCAGCAAGACAGCAATAATTCTAGTACCAGAGCTCACGTTTAACTTTAAACTGGTAACTTGAAAAGGAATTTAAAGCACCGCCTATAGAGATTTTTAAGTACCATAGTTGCCATTTCATGGGCATGATATAATTTAAATCTTGACATGTTTGGTATCTGTTTACTCTATGCAACATCATATTTTATATTTTACCCCCCAAAAAATGGATATTATATTGTGCACTAAAATGCATCTACAGTAAGTGTATTTTTCCTGAAAAATCTGTATTTGATAAAAGACTGCAATATTGTGCAACATAAAAAAAACTGAAACAACAACAATTTTATTCTCCAGGGAATCTTTTTTCAGAAAATATATAATATTTGGCGGTTGTAAGTAGCAATAAAAGTGCTAAATAGGTTCTAGCAATAAAAGTGCTGATTGTAATATTTATGTGAGAAATGTCAGAACTTGTCTTGCCTGGAAGTGGTTAAAGCTGAACTTCTGCCCCTCACCCCCACATTGCAAGGGTGAAATGTTTGCTTTGTTAGGGGTCTAGAATAAGCAGCAAAACCTTATTCCTCACAACCCTGGCATCCAGCGATTTTCTCTGCTCTCTGACATACTTGGTGGTCCTTTGCCATATACAGGTACTCATAAAATGTGGGACTGCTGCTATTACAATATATATATAAAGTGTTGATTTTGGAAAACCTTCTACACAGTGGGCAGAGAGGAAGCTTCAAGAGACCAGGTATTCAGCTGGGAGGAAGCCTGTAGGAGGGAGGAATAAGGTGAGTATCACTGCTAATTTCTTTGCCTTGGACAAAATTAGTAGAGGTAGTTGGTGGTTTACTTTAAACATAACAGCTAACTGAACTTTTAAGTACTAGTTTAAGTATGAGAATAAGGACTACCAGTGTGAATCAGTACAGTCTGTCAAATACTCGGAGTTTCTGTTTAGTAGATAGAAAAGTAAGCAAAGCCATGACATCATCAGTGAGGTCATGGTCTTGCTTTCCTATATAGCACCCTCTAGTATGCTATTGGAATAGTGTAGGCAAATTTATTGTGTATGACTCATGGTATCTCTGTGAGTCTGTGATTAAGGTCGGGTTACTGCAGGTCAAGCTCGATGGCATAACACATTGGGACTCTATTGCCTCCACCTGGTTCTGGAGGATCACTGGAACCTTCCATAAGTCAATAGACAGAAGAGTTGGAGACCTAATCTGAATTTATGAGAGTCTAACCAATCCCAGGTTTGAGACCCTGTTAGAGTGGTGGACCAGCCCATAAATATGGAAGAGTCAGACTGACAAGGGAGTCAGATGGAATATGGATTGCTGAGGAGACTGTTGGTTGTCTGGGAGGGGTCCCCTAGGTCCTTCAGGCTGGGCTCAGGTTGGCTCAGGAGGGTCCATTCAGCAGTGAGACAGGATCAAGGCCTGAGAACAGTGGGAGCAAGGAGGACAGAGTGAGTAGATCCGCACACCCAGGAATTTACAAGGGGAGATACTGCCACATGTAGCAAGTTGGGTACAACCAGCCTGTTGGATTTTACATGCAATTAACACTAACGGCTGTTCTCCGGGGAGGGTGGACAGGGGGAGCTCCCCCCACCAGGAGAACACAATGGCTCAGCAAGAGGTATTCCCTTGTCAACACTATCTGTGTGACATTCGCATCATCTATGGCTTGCCCAAGTCTCATGGCTTTGGAGCTGTTATCTGATGAATGCCAATGTCAATTGTTGGGGCAGTATTATTGTTGTGCACTGTGAATTCTGTTCTGTCAGTTTTCAGCAGTGCTGTGCTTAATGCTGTGCTTAATCCTTTATCCTTGTTCTGGGAGCTCTTCAGAGCAGCCAGGAGGGCTTTTAGTGTCTGTAGACTGTGGAGCTTGGAGCAGTTTTACAGGGAGAAGAGACATCTCTGCATGTAGTTTGCAGCAAGCTAAGCTAATTTTCAAGGGGGGCTGCGAGCCCCTCACCCATAAGGGGCAGTTGCTATTGATCTGCAAAGACTCCATAAAAAGATCAGTCCAGGATCTGTTTCTGTAATAAGAAGGAAGTTGTCCCCGTGCCTTCTGGTGCGTGGTGTCTTTGCACCTTCCGGCCTGCCTTTTTCGTCTGGTGACATCACATGCGCTTGTGGTCCACGCTGGTTTAGCATGGACTTCCTGGATAGCGCCATCCACTTCTGCCTCTCCTACATCAGAGGCACCCGGGTCCCCTCCAGCGGTCCCTGTGGGAAGAAGACAAGTGGCCCAGGACTTACACACAGATGAGCCTTTATACATTACTAACTTATGAGTGATTTCAAAAGTTGTGTCAATAAATTCTCTTATACTAATACTACACTCGATTGGCACCTCCCTTTCTCTTCATCTATTTGTTATTTGAACAGAGCAGGCAACTCTCTGGATGCGGTCACCTGCCTGCTTTCAATCCCACACAGAGAATGGACTTTTTACTAGACCATATGGTCACATCTCATACTGTATGCTGTAAGGAATAATTGTTTCAATGCACCAGAATTATTCAGCAAAATTGGGCATCCCATAATCCCTTTTACCCTATCCAAGTTATTTCCCCAAATAAAATAACAAGAACCAAGTTCAAGAACTGTTCCCTCGCTGTGGATGCAAGTGTGGAAAATTCATGTTGCCTGGCAGTGCAGAGCTAAGGGGCATCTGGAAAAATAGCGGCCCTCACGAGGGTAGGTCTATGCCTACTTGGTGGACTGGGAGAGGGCCTATGATCAGACTACTGCTTAAGTGCACTGGAGAAAATAAGGACGCCAATCTGTGTATGGTATCAGGTGTCAGGATTACAAGACTTCATAAACACAACTACAAATCTCTAGGCAGGTAGGCATTTCACATATTTGTATTTTAACTGTGCATTTAGGTGTTTGTCTGGAGTGCAGCTTTAACAATTCCACCATATAAAAATAACTTGAGTGTGTTCTAAATAATCTAATTTAAAAAGACCATAGTTCAGTTTAATAATGTAAAATGGCTCTTGTCTAATGTATTACCCCCTACCTTGTGTTTGTCAGAGTCTAATATGAGCATCCAATTAGTCCTGCTGGGAATCATCAAATAGGTCAAACAGACTTGTTGATGTGCAGCAAAAATAGCAAAATGGGATAGTTATCAGCACTGGCATTATCAAAGTAAGTACTTACAGGGAATGATAACAAACACAAAGCATTTACAATGAGGTCTGATAGCAAAGTGTCATGTTAGGTTTAGGAAACCTGTATTTTTAATGTAAGTTAAAAGCATTTTGTAGTCATTGCAATCAGGAGCTACCGTTTTATTGAATGGCTGATGGTTTTAGAGGGAGTTTTAAGTGTTTGGCAGTCCATATAGATTAATCCATATATACAATGTATATACATATATCCTGGGGGAGCAGCTGGATTGTTTGGGCCCTTCTTCCCTGATTCAGTGTTGACCCATCCTGTACTTGGACTCAAGTAACACCAAAACACCTGGTAACAGTTTACAATTGGTTTCATTGCTAAAAAAAAACGCTGTAAGGAAAGATGGGCTGGATAGAAAATGCAACAATAGTAATGACATAGTAGTTACGAATAGCATAAATTAAAAACTGACAGAACAGAATTCACAGTGCACAACAATAATACTGCCCCAACAATTGACATTGGCATTCATCAGATAACAGCTCCAAAGCCATGAGACTTGGGCAAGCCATAGATGGTGCGAATTTCACACAGATAGTGTTGACAATGAAATCCCTCTTGCCGAGCCATTGTGTTCTCCTGGTGTTCCAACAGGCTGGTTGTACCCAACTTGAACGATCGATCACTTGGGTACATTCAGCCTGCCCATACATGGTTCAAAACTCAGGTTCCTGTTAAACCTGCCAAGATTCAGACCATCTGTGGTTGGCTTTAAAGTATAACTAAAGGTAAAACCTTTTTTTTTTAATTTTTGGATATAATAGAGAGGAATTAGAAGGCTTGTCAATTTTTACTCCTGTCTGTGCCCCCTTTAAGCAGATTCACCTTCTCTATTTGTTCTGTTAACTATTATAATTAAAAGTGAAATTTAAAAAAAAATGCCAAATTTTGGAATGTCCCTAAAAAAGTAATAGAGAGGAAATCTTCCAATAGGGACATTAGTTCTGAAGACCTGGGCGTCCCCAAAGAATTTTCCCAATTTCCGGGATTACCTCTCACTTTCTGTTTGGCTATAGCACAGGAAGTGAAAGTTCAGTTCTCTGATTGGATAGCAGTGACTGCCAGTAACTCTTCTTCGCTCTGCCCCTCCATTGCTCACTGGAGTGCAGAGATGGAGAGGGGGCAGGTGCAGCTGGCTTTGGGTCTCAGCCTCGTGCTGAGAGTCGGAGCCAACTGTCAATCGGGCAGCTGGGTGGATGCCAACAATATTTTCAGGATCCTTCCACAGCTTGGAGCAACTCTGTGACGTCAGCTCAGCTGACAGTGGGCTTTAGCTTGCTGTAAACTGACCCTGGATCACAAGAAAGCAAACATAAATGTGCTCCTGTGACCAACAAGAGAAGTATAACCAAAAAAGCTTTTTAAAGAGTTATGTTTAGGTTGTACAAAGGTAATTAACCACTTACTGAGGATTTACCCCCCCCCCCCCTTCCTGACAAGGACATTTTTTGCATTACGGCGCTGCATTACTTTAGCTGACAATTGCATGGTCATGCAACGCTGCACCCAAATGAAATTTATGTCCTTTTTTCCCACAAATTAAGCTCTCTTTTGGTGGTATGTGATCGCCTTTGCGGTTTAATTTTTTTCACTATAAAAAAAAAAGACAGACAATTTTGAGAAAAAAAACTATATTTTTGACTTTTTGCTATTAAACGTGTGCAGTAAAAAAAAAATTAAAAATCAAATTTCGGCATAAATCTAGGCCAAAATGTATTTTGCTACATGTCTGTGCTAAACAAAATCCCAATACATGTAAATTAAATGGTTTACATGAAAGTTTTAGCATTTACAAATGACAGTATAGATACTGGATTTTGTTTTTTTTTTAATTTTCACTAGTAATGGCGGCATCAGCAACTTATAGCAGGATTGCAGTGGGCATTCTGACACTGGCAGGAACTGACTTGGTGTCACTGACATCCCCAGTGACTCCAATACAGTGATCAGTGCTAAAAAAAGCACTGACACTGTACTAAAAACACTGGGCAGGAAGGGGTTAACATGAGGGGCGATCAAAGGGTTAACTGTGTGCTGGGAGTGTTTTACTAGGGGGCTGTGTTTCACTGTAAGCACACTGCTTTGGAAGGCTGTACACAGCCATCCAAAGCAGTGTACCTGAGCTGATAGGGAGGAGGACTATTAGTAGAAAAAACAGTTCTCCTCCCTGTCGGAGATCATCAGAAATCACCGGGCGCTGAGACCCAGTGATTGACAGCCGTGGACGCGAAAGGTGGCGCGGTTAGGGAGTGTGCGCATCTCGCATGTGCCTCCCAACCCAGAAATGCAAAATCTTGTATATATACTTGATTTTGCACACCCATACTGCCCTGTAGCATTATTTCTGCTATAGGGTGGACAGGGAAGCGGTTAAGCAGAAAAACATGGAAGGTATGGCCTCAGCAGTCACCTCTCATATTTTATTGACTTTACTGGGGTTGTACTATACACTGGCACAATATGTCCTTAAACTTGAGAGAGTTCAGAGAAGGTCAACAAAATTAGTAAGGGGAAATTGATCTAAGTTATGAGGAAATATTACAAAAATTTAACATTTTCTCCCTTGAAAGAGGCAATTAAGAAGGGGATATAATAACAGTATCCAAATCAATGGTGACTGTAGTATTGGCAATAAACTATTCAAGGTAGGGGCTCCTATAGGAAAACCTGTGGCCAAAAACATGAAGTTGAATGCTAAATTATCTAGTCTTAAACTGTTTAAGGGGTTGTTTACAGGCTAAGCAGGTAAAAATGTGGAAATTGCACAGTTAGTGGTATCAGCTGAGAGTTTAGGTAACTTGAAAAAAAACTTTGAGATGGGTTTCCCAGTGACCACAATATACAGGGATATGGGAATCCATAATAACATGTACACTCATACAAATAAAGGGTTGAAAAGGATGGACCTATATCTTCAATCTTGCCAATGATGTAACTACAGTGGTGATTAATTATCAGTGCTTTGTTTCAAATGTCACTTTACGTACTGTCATACCTCCTTAGATCTTGTCTCTCTGATCAGTATGGTCATCTGCTGAGTTGGCACCATCCACACGCAGCTTAACTCTTCATTATATACACAGAGGTTGAATCCAATGCAATCTTCTTTCAGATATTTTCAAATCTTTTGAAGGAAGTATAAGGACCCTTTCACACAGGCGGACCGTTTTTCATTTTTCATCCATCCGTTGACGGATGAAAAACAGACAGCAATGTATTTCTAAGGACCAGCGGATATGAACGAATGATCATCCACTTACCATCCGTTTACCTCCATGTCCATTACGATCCATTTTTTAAAAAATACAAGGGTACGTTCAGATCCGCTGAAACGGAATAGAACGAATGTAAACAGATACCATCCGTTTACATCAGTTCCGTTTATGTCTGTTTTTAGGCAAGAACATTTTTTGTTTATGCTTTTGTCACCTCTGACTGGTCTCTGCAACAACTAAGTAAAAACATATATGCAAAAACAGATGTAGACTGATGTAAACTGAACTGAAATGACATAAACTGATGTAAACTGAACTGAAATAAAAGGAAGTGAAAACTGAAGTAAAGTGACATAAACTGACATACACTAAACTGAAAACTAATGTAAAAACTGATGTAAACTATGCAAGGTTTTCCTTTGAAGAAACATGACTGATCGGACGATGCCCATGTGAAAGGGGCCTAAGACAATGACTTTCCTATGCCCTGTCTCTGAGACAAACTAATACTGACAAAGGGAACATGGAATAAACTGTGAGGTTCTAACAAAAACTGAACTAACTAGCCTTAAAAGGAGGGCAAAACGGTTGGAAATACTTAGGGCGCTTTCACACAGACATTCAGATCTGGTCCATCTGCCTGTTTTTCAGGTGGACCCGATCGGAACCTCCATTCTCCTCTATGGAGCGGTGAGTGTAAATGGACATGTGTACATTTACACCTGCTGACATGCGATCCGATCTGCCAAAAAATATATAGATGGGGATCCAATTTCCCCTCCGTCCATTGGATCAGGTCGGATGAAAACGGACAGGTGGTCCATTTTTCATCTGACTGCCCACTGAAGAGAGCGAGCAGCTCTGTGTCTGCTCTGCAGCGGTGGAGCAGACACAGAGCTGTCATCAGCTTGCTCAGCAGGGATCAGCGGAAAAAACCCCACACTGAGCAAGCGGATCCACCAAACGGGTCTGTTCCGTGTGAAAGGACCCTAAATAATATATATTGTAGTGGCTTTCAACTGCCACTGGATATCAACATGCTACATAACAAAAACAGCAATGCAATTCAATACAACACAGAAAAAATGTAAGTGAGGTAGGAAATTTAGCATCCTTCTTCACTTTCTCTCCTCTGTGCTTTTAAAGTGGCCATTTTCATAGCATCATGCTTGCTTACTTTGCAGATAGCCACCTTGTTTTTTTTTCTGGACCTGATCACAGTCTCAGTGGATTAGCACCAGAATTCTATTTGGTTAACCTAATAAAGATAATTGGATTCTTAGCAATATACTTCACATTCTACAGATGAAATCAATATGGAACATTTTAGAGGGGCTGTCTCAAACTCTCTTTTTTCATACTTTTAGAACTTTTCAGCTACAAAGATGTGTTATTAAAAATGGGGAGTCAATAAAAGTGCCTAGGGCAACACTGAAGTCCATCTTATTTTATATCTAATATCAGAACTTAAATCATATAAAGAAATTAAACCATATTGAAAATTATGATCATTTGATTGATGTAAACTGTAAGAACACAACTGCTGATTCTCTGTTTCGTGTACATATACAGGAGAGACCTCTAGTGGAATCACATGTAAAGGCATGAAACGTACATCAGAACAGAATGAGCCTGATTTGTCAAGCTGCAATATCTGGTATTATGTGGAAGAATAAACACACAAAGCAATATTATCACACGTGATAATATTTCCTGATACAATAAAAGACATCAATCTTTCATGCAGGATTAATGTTGAAATGTTCCATTGTGACATCTTGTACACTTAGCTGATTTATTTAGCTTCAGGGGTTCTTCTGTAATATTAGAGGGTCACTTGTTCATTTAAAAGTATATACTGTATATTCACAAAATGAATACAAAAAAGAAAAGGAAATCTTTGCATCAGTTACAATTTTTGATATTTAGGTAATGTGGTCTTACTCTCGAAGAACTATTCTTTAATATATTGAGTCAGTGACCTGCACAGTGTTTGTATGCTATTTCCCTGATTACTGTACATGCTTGATCTAGGTCAGTGGCTCAGTAAGTTTAGTGTTTCTGAAGCCATTTACTTTTAGTTTTGGGAAGCGTAGGGAAGGGTTGGGACTCAGGTTTTCTTTTTTTGTTTTTTTTCTTTGCTTACTGTCTGTTTTCCCACTGGGGTGACTGACAGTTCTTTTTGTCCTGGTGACCTGCTTAGCTTGAACTGCAAGGGGAGAAAACTCTAAGGGCCAATTCACACCAGTTTGATTTAGCACAGCTGTAAAACGTAGATCAATGGAAGGATATCTGAAAAACAATAATTTCTAATGTGCCCTATTCACACCATAACGTCGCGTTGAACTAAAATGCAAAATGTATGTCCATGGATGTCAAAATGTATGTCATTGGACGTCAACATGTATGTCAGCAGTTGTCAGCACGCATTAAAACATGACTAGAATGGATGGAAATGTACATGCATTTTAGCACAAGTCAGTGTGAATTGGCCCTCAAACACAGAGTTATTTGTGACACAGAAAAAGAGGGGAAATTTTCATATAGATATAACTGTTCTGGAGGCCACTGTCTAGTAGGGCAGTTACCCTTTTAGAGAGTTTCTCTCACTTCCAGTGGTGTCTACAGCATTGGTTCTCAATCTTTTTGAGACCAGGGTCCAGTAAATTCCTCCCAAAGCTCCAATGCCCTAACAGTAAAAAATAAAACTAATACTCACACAATAAAAGTATGGGAATACAAAAGATGTATCGAAATGCTGGAAAACTCTGGTTGGTCTGTGCATCACTGTGTGGGGGCAGTAGCGTAATTTGGTTGTGTGCTGCCCTAGGCAAGAGTAAAATTGCACCCGTCGGCCACCTCGGGAACCATGATCAGGAAAGCCCGACATATTCCTTCTTCGCTGATCTCTGACAATGATCCAGTAACAAGAATCAGACACCCTTAAGCAGCCCTTCAGCACCCCACAGCCTACACTGCTGTGCCTATCTCTGACAATGATCCGAGTTGAATACCCGCAGCCTGCACTGCTGCTCCTCAACTGCTCCCCATCCTCAGTCACAGGCTGCCATGTGTGTCACTTCTGCCAAGGGGTGGTGTCACCCCCTTGAAAAATGCCTCCCTAGGCAAATGCCTTGTTTGGCTTGCAGTAAATACACCCTTGTCTTGGTGGAGAAAGGGGTTATGGAGTGGTATAGGGAAACGTGCTGCAGACTTGGTGGGCCTCTAGGGGATTAGGCTTCTGCAGGGGCCTGAGAACCATTGTGGAAGTTTTGGGGGCACTGTGGGACACTGTGAGAGGTGGGGCACTATGGAGGGCTGGAGGCTCTGTGGCAAGCTGGGTGACACTGAGGGAAGCTGGGCGGCACTGTTGGAGGTTGGAGGACATTGCTGAGGCTGAGGGCTGTCAGGAGACTTGGGGTCACAATAGGAGGTTAGGGGTCACTACGGGAGCTAGAAGGCACTTCGGGAGGTAATAGGTTCTGCAGCTGGATGGAGGTCCACAAAGGAGTAGACAGTAGTTAGGCAGTGGGCCACAACCCGTTGGTTGAGAAACACTGGGCTATAGGACAGGAAATCTCCAAAATGGGACATAGATGGCAAAAAATACCTGACAGATGTTTAGTCTTAACCTGCTTGATCCAGAATGAAAAAGAATGTATATATAATAAAACAAGTTATATGTTAAATGTTTTAGTAGAAGAAGTGATGGGACTGTTGCCCTCTCTTGTTCACAGTCAAAAGTAGAAACATGTACTAATGTGTTAAGGGCATCATCAGAGAGATCGTGTGAGCTGGAAGGCTCATGCACCTGTGCCTGTTTTGGGCATGAGAATCTAATAAAGCGAAAGCCACACATGGGCACACAGATAATGGCACCTAGTGACCTATTTAAACCAGAGTCATGTATGAGATCATTGCTGAATGGTGTCCCAGCTTGAGTTCCTGTTACCCTTTATATTGAATCTGCTTGAGTCTGGCACTGACACAGCTTTAATCTGACCGGCTTCTGGATTACCCTTGCCTGTCTGTACTTGCTACATACCTTTGTTACCAACTAAGGATGGGCTTGATGTTCT